CAAAAGTCAATAGCATTCCTCTACACAGACAACAAACACACTGAGAGGGAAATTATAGAAACAATACCTTTTACAATAGCACCTAGGATAGATATACAGCTTTCTCTTAATGCAATGAGAAGAAAGATATGTACTAATAGTATGTGGACAGGATATCATGTCTGCATTTTGTACTACGAATAACCACTAAAAAGATAACAATATGCAATGTATTAATTATTAAAACTCTCCTATGAATCGGTTTTGAAACTGTCTCATTGCTATTTGTTTATCAATGAAATTATTTAAAAAACAATAAAAAAGTGACATGTTAAAAAAAAAAGAATTCAGAAAGAGGAAGCTCCTACTTTCAGGCTTCCTGGTTGAATATCAAAACCCTTTGCATCCCAGCAGTCACTCCATCTCTTGCAGTCCATTCTGCCATCTGCTGTTGAGCTGTGGATGAAGACTAATATTTTCAACTTTTGTCTTACTGTTCCCTTTGCCTGAAATGAAATTATGCTCACTCATGAAAAAAAAAAAAAAAAGGTGGGGGAGGGAGTGCTGGGGAGATGGCTCAGTGGAATAAGTGTTTCCCTGGAAAACGCAAGGGCCTGAGTTCAATCCCCAGTTCCACCAAAAAGAAAAAGAAAAACAAACAAACAATAAAAAAAAACCCAAACTTTATGTACCAGAATGTGAAAGGATCACTGGACAGGAAGAACTTAGCACAACTATATAATAGATAAAAAGAGGCTCAAGATGAAAATATAATTGGAATCTATGGTACACAGCAATTCTCGGTAACCCAGCACTTGATCCAGCTAGCATTAGGGTTTTGATCATTGCATGGAAGATCAGACCTCACAAAATGTGTGTTTTCCAAGACAGAGTTCACGGACAGCATGAAGAAGTAGGTTGTGACAGCACAGGAAGCGAAAGGCTCAAATAACCAAGCTGGAACAAGAATTGAAAGAACCAAGATGACTGAAGGTTTTGACAAGTTCACTTTTAATTTTGCAAAGAATCCAGGTCAAGCTCCTTTTTCTGGGAAACATCAAATGGCGGATGACGTCAGTGCAGCGGAAGGGGCTGGAGGCCCCGGGGGCCCAGGCATGGGAGGCCGCGGCTGCTTCCGGCGGAGGCTTTGACAGTAGCCTTCGAGGGCTCGGCAGAGGCCGCGGGGCTCACGGCGGTAAGGCCGAGGACAAAGAGTGGATTCCTGTCACCAAGCTGGGCCGTCTGGTCAAAGACATGAAGATCAAGTCCCTGGAGGAAATTTACCTTTTTTTCTTACCCATGAAGGAGTCCGAGATTATTGACTTTTTCCTGGCAAATCCCTCAAGGATGTTCTGAAAATCATGCCTGTGCAGAAGCAAACTCGTGCTGGCCCACGGACCAGCTTCAAGGCATTTGTCGCCATTGAGGACTACAACAGTCATGTTGGCCTAGGTGTAAAGTGTTCCAAGGAAGTAGCCACTGATATTTGTGGGGCCATTATCCTGGCCAAGCTCTCCGTTGTCCCCGTTAGGAGAGGCTACTGGGGAAACAAGATCAGCAAGCCCCACACTGTTCCTTGCA